ATGAGCAATTTTTTTTTTTTTTTTTTTTTTTGGGTGGAAGAACTTAGGTACTCAACTTTTTATAGATTCGGGGCACGAACTTGTTCGTTGGTTCCAACAATTTGACTGTTTGAAATGAGCGGACAATGCCGATTGTTCTTGTTTTATTTCTTTCTTTTTTTGGTTCCTTGGTAGGTTGCTATTGATCAATAACCCCCATGTGGAGGCTCCAAATGGATCGATACAATTCTTGGTGGTCCCTTATAATTTAATTGTCTCGACCAAGAAAATTTTGAGTAATTCAAACTTGTAGTTGATCATGACCCGTTTGAGTTTACCTGATTCAAACGTGCTCAACGGGGTTTATGTGAAGAAAAGAAAGAAATTACACAAGAGTGTGGTGGTTGATACACATATTTCGATGTCTAAATAAGAAAATGTTGATTGGTGCAATGAGATTATGATTTGAGAATGAGGTTGGACTTATGTGAGATCGCACATCGATTGGAGGGAAGAACGAGTGCTAGCAAAGACATTGGCCTCAAATGGGAGTGGATTGTGAGATCTAGAGAGGGGAACAAAACATTCTTTCTAAGGTGTGGAAAACTCTATCTGTCACACGTGTTTTAAAAACTTTGAGAAAAAGCCCGAAAAAGAAAGTCCAAAGAGAACAATATCTGCTAGTGTCACGACTCGATTTTCAAGGCGTCGAGAATCAAATCGAGACTAAAAAAGACAGAAGTAACAAATAAAATAAAAAAAAATAGAAGATGAAAATTCAAAATTAAAGTTAAATATTACCCGAAATACAGTTATGAAAGAAAATACAAAAGACTCCAAATGTGAGAATGGATTGACCTCCGGAATGACACCACTATGTGACATTACAGCTCTCGACCAATACCAAAAAAAAAGGGAAAACAGGGTCGTTTATTATAAGGTTGAAATCAAATAAAAATAAATACAATCTAAAATAAATATAAAAATAAAAAAACGAAGGTGATTAAAAGTTCAGATCGTGACACTGCAACTTACCACTAAGATGAAAATTTGGGATCGTGATTAAAAAGACAAAGGTGAAATCAAATAAAAATAAAACATAAAGATGAAAATTCCATAAAATTTAAAGACAAGATAAAATCCAATTATGAGACAGTACAGTTTGAATTTATTACAAAAGATAAAAATAGAAAACAAAACATTTATTATAACAGCCTGAAAACCTCTCCTTAACAAATGCGTTTTAAAATCTTGAGACTGACGATGATACGTAACAGATCAACGTGAACAAGATTTGCTAGTAGTAGACTTAGACTCGAGCTGTTATATCATTGAGGTTACCTAGTCGCTATTCATAGGCATTTGGTATAGAATATGGATCACTATGAGTAACAATTTCAATGAACTAATCTACAATAACAACATGACAATGATCATTAACAATGGCTGAAGTTGGCAACTTTTGATGCTCTTGTTCCAATTCCAAATCACTTGATTTCCCAGCTTCCACACACTTGAAATTTGCAAGTGAACCCAATTCACCAACTGACTCTGCAATCTTCTCAATGCAAGAAATGGTATCAATGAGCAACGAAGCCACGGTCGCTATCGGTACTATCTCTAGGAGATCAATGTCCCCGTCCCCCGGCCCGATCTTAAGCGCTGCCTTCAAGTCCTTCATTGCTGCCTTTGACTTCTCTATGTGGGGATTTGGAAATGTAGGTTGAGTCATCGTTCTTAGGTCGGATGCTATGTCCTCTAGAGCGTTGCTTGATTCAATGCTCATTTTAGAACAGGACTTCATGAGTCGATCTCGGATATGTAATGGAGTCTACGTGAAATACATTTGAATTCTAAGTCAAATTTCATCCGTAAACTTATCAAATCGGATCTAACACAGTCAGCTAAAGTTAACCAAATCGTTTGGTGTGATTAAAGTTTCTTACTTGAGTTTCAGTGACAAGGTAGTTGTTGAGAGATTCGAGTCGATAAGCACATTGTCTCGTTAAGCTTCCAATCTTCTGATATTGCTTCCATGGATGACGAAATTTGAAGGGCCCATGGCGTGGTTCCCACCTTGCAAAGTTAACCAGTGACTCTTCAGTTTGCCTCGACGTCAAAACGCTCTTACATCCTTCAAGAAGCTCATCTTCTTTCGATTCATTTGAATATTGAACCCCAAAACCTGCAAACCAAAACACATAGGAATCAAAACTGAGTTATCTTTCGTATATCAAATAGTGCGAACTTCGTAACAATTTTAAAAAATAGTCGACACTCGATTTAAAAATTATATTTCAAACGTGTATGATTAAGAACATATTCGAATTTTCATGAAACAATTATTAAAGACAAGGAAGCAAAATTATGAGCAATAATACGATGATGATGAGCTAATGAGTGAGAGACACCTTGGAGGAAGTTGGCGAGAAGTTGGATGTTGTTGGAGACAAGAGAATGGAGATCATCACCAGCCCAAACAGGGCATATGAATAAGCATATGAGAATGGCAATGAAGGTGCCTAGTAGAATGGTGAGAGCTCTCCTATAAGCGACTTGAAGAATCTCGTCATCTCGGTAACCGGAGACCGACACTAAACAAAAGGTTAGGATGAAGATGAGGAAGCCATAGTCATATCTTGCCTTTATTCGAGGGAAGAATCGTATGAACGTCGTTATTGTAGCTGTATTCATAGTGTCAAATTCAATTAGTGTATACACACGAATGTCAACTTAAGTATAGCTTAGTCGATTAAAAACATATTCTTATGACCAAAAAATTAGAGATTGGAATCTAACATCTATTCGAGCTTCAAAAAAGAAAAAAAGATGCACACTTTTCCCTTAAAGAGTATCTTTTTATATAGGTAATATTTATGTAACTAAATTGTAAGTTCAAGCCCTTAAGGGCGATGCTTTGCTTCCCTCTCTAACCAATGTGAGATCTCACAATCCACCCCGTTAAGGGTGATGCTTCGTTCCCTTCTCTAACCAATGTGGGACCTCACAATTCACCCCTTAAGGGCCAACTTCGTTCGCCTCTCCAACCGATGTGAGACCTCACAATCCACCCCTTAAGGGCCAGCTTCGTTCCCCTCTACCACTGATATGGGACCTCACAATCCACCCCTTAAGGGCCAGCTTCATTCCCCTCTCCAACCGATGTGAGATCTCACAACCCCCCTCCCCCCCCCTTAAGGGCGATGGTCCGTTCCCTTCTACAACCAATGTGGGACCTCACAATCCACCCCTTAAGGGCCAGCTTCATTCTAACCGATGTAGGATCTCACAATCCACCCCCTTAAAGGCCAGCTTTGTTCCCCATTTCAATCGATGTGGGATCTCACAACCCACCCCTTCAAAGGCGATGCTTCGTTCCTCTCTACCACTGATGTGGGACCTCACAATCCACCCCTTTAAGGACCAGTTTCGTTCTCCTCTCCAACCAACGTGGGATCTCATAATCCACCTCCTTAAAGGCCAGTTTCGTTCCCTTTCCAATTGATGTGGGATCTCACAATCCACCCTCTTAAGAGGGTGGGATCTCACAACCCACCCTCAAGGGCGATGCTTCGTTTTCCTCTCCAACCGATATGAGACCTCACAATCCACCCTCTTAAGGGCCTGCTAGCACGCTCTGGGTGCCTGATTTGATACCATTTGTAATGGCCCAAGCCCACTGCTAGCAAATATTGTACACTTTGGCTCGTTATGTATTGCCATCAGCCTCATAATTCTAAAACGAGTTTATTAGGGAGAGATTTCCACACTCTCGTCAATCTAATATGAAATCTCAAGAAATTGTTCAAAATCTCTGTAATTGCTAGTATCAAAGTAATAATTACTATCATGACTCAGAATTAAAATACAAACTTATATCCCATGATATTTATGTATTTTTTTTAAAAAAATTTAAAAATAATATTAGAAACTATATATTTTGAAGAATTTGAAGTAGAATTACATACCAAAAAAGAAAACAGAGAGCGATAGAATAACAGGTTGAGCTTTATCTCCAGCCAAATCCGCCAAAAAATGAGCTCCAAATCCCAAACTCGCAGCCAAGGACGTTGCCAAAACCCTATTCAATCCCCGTCCGAGCGTCGCTCCTATTTCAACCGAACCAATGAATATAGCTCAATGATTAAGATATTTACCGCTAAACATACAACAAAAATGAGAATATATTCACCTACGGAGAACTCGAAGACGACAACGACAGTCAAGACAGCCCACATAGCCGAGGCGCCGAGGCCATCATAGAGAGGCTCGAAGTAGTAGAACAATGACACCAAAGTGATGGCTAGGCCGACTTTGAAAGAATGAACAATTCTCCTAGGATCATCCTTGGCTAGTTTCTTCGTCTTTCTCAATAACTCGACCACCTTCGCCTTTAGGCTCGAAGATTTGGCTTTGAGCCCCTCGCCCCAACGAGCCAAAACTCCCTCGTTCTTCTCATCGGCCATCCCCACGGCCAAAGCGGCTCAAACTTGGTTTTTCTTCGCAATTGAGTGAGAGCGAGATGGGAAAAGTTTCTCTCTTGTAATGAGATTTGGTAATGAAGCCTAGATTGCCATATATATGTATATATATAGGAAGGACCCAAGATGGTAGCTTGAGAGTGTGTGGCCAACAAAAAGTGTCACCTTTATTGGTATGTAATTTTTTAAAAAATTCAAACCCTGAGGGGGTAACGTGTTAGTAGATATTGGTATGTAATTCTTTAATGGTACCTATAACGACCCAAGTCCACCGTGTTAGTAGATATTGTCCTCTTTGAGCTTTTCTTTTCAAGCTCTCCCTCAAGGGTCGTTCTCATCTTCAACCAATGTGGGATCTCACAATCCACCCTTTTTAGGGCCTAGCCTCCTCGGTGACACTTGTTTTCTTCTCCAATCGATGTGAGACCCCCCCAATTCACCCCCTTCAGGTTCTAGTGTCCTTGTGGTCAGACTTCCTCGTGTCCACCGCCCTTTGGGGCTCAACCTCCTCTTTGACATATCGCCCGGTGTCTAGCTCTAATACCATTTGTAACGGCCCAAGACCACAACTAGCCGATATTGTCTTCTTTGGGCTTTCCTTTCCAGACTTCCTCTCAAGATTTTAAAACGCTTCTATTAGTGAGAGGTTTTCACACCCTTGTTTGATGTGGGATCTCATAGTACCACTGATGACGTTTTTTATTTTTCAAACGAGTGTCATTTGAGTGTTTAGAAAAACTTTTTTCTCGTTTCAGTCTCTTACTATATCTACTAGAGATTATAGTAAAACTAAAATGATGACAGAAAAAAAAAAAAAAAAAACTTGTGGCCATATATACAAGACCTTACAACTAAACCGGAACACGAAAGCCCCATTCAAGAACTTTGATGCATTAAGTAAAAAATAAGAAATGAAAAAGTTAACCATAGCTCTAGATATATATAAATCACGACAAAATTATCAATAGTCATTCATACGATCTCTTGTGCATCAAGATGTCTTTCACGAGCTATAGAAAATTTGAGCCTTCGATCTCTAGTGAAAAGCGCCGATATCTCTAATACAACTATTCGAGCTATGAACAGGTTGGTCGTGCTCTTTTGGAAGTATAATCACGTAAAGAAGGTGAGAAAGGTTCGGAAGGGACACGAGGTTAGAGATGTTTAGAAACCGTGTGAAGGAAATTTCATTGTCGTTTGTCGTTTTCCAGACAGTTCGAGAACCTACCAAAGTTACCATTGACAGCCACTGACCCACCTGGAAAGACAAACCAACCAAAGCACCTTTTTTTTAAAAAAGAAAATGGCCAATTAAATTAATTAGTTTAAAATAGATTAAATTAATAAAACTATCTTAATTTTTTTTTATTTTATCTCAATATATTTCATTTTAAAAATATATAGTAATTTATTTAAAAAATATTCTCAATATATATCATTAGTGTATGAACTCAACTATCAGTACTAAGTACTCGTACACTTTTAAAAGTAGTATCAATAAAGTACCCATAAACTTTTAGAAACTAAAAAAGAATGGTATTATTGATGCTTTTAAAAGTTTATGCAACGACCCAAGTTCACTGTTTGCAGATATTGTTTGTTTTGGCCCGTTACGTATCGTTATTAGCCTCACGATTTTGCAACGTGTCTGCTAGGGAGAAGTTTTCACACCCTCATAAGAAATGTTTTGTTCTCCTCTCCAACTAATGTGCAATCTCACAATCCACTCACCTTGAGGGCCCAACGTCCTCACTAACACACTGTCTGATGTCTAGCTTTAATATCATTTATAACAGGTCAAAGCGGACAATATCTAGTAACAGTGGACTTGAGTTGTTACGGTTCAAATTAGTTTTTTAACTATAGTACTAAGAGTTGCGTTCTTATACTAATGATAAGAATACTTTTGAACTTGTTAAATGATATTAATGCAACTTTTGACATAAAGCGTAAAGTTTCGAGATATATATATATATATATTAGAGAAAAAGACAAATTTGAACTTGTGTGCTTGATTAAATAATATATATGTTGATTACCTAACATTTTGGTCATGTGGTTCCAACTGATTGTGTCACAATACATTATTCACAATGCCATCTGTATCGCATTTTATTATTATTATTATTATTCTTATTATTTTCTTTTCCACCTTAATCATAACTCATCATATTTATTCTATCTAATATTTATTTTCCTTTTGTTTCTTCTTTCATTTACACGTCAAATACTCGAAGAGAGTATATTTGTCAACCCGAGAATGACTCCATTGGTTAAAAGATTATTGTGACATTTGAGTAAATAAGAGATACATGAATGAATCGAGATCATATTCGAATGAGAGTGATCGTAAGGATATTATAGTTAAGAAAGATCTAAAAGAATTTAAAGTTATTACCTATATCCATTTTTTCCGAGACTCAATCATAAAAATTTTAAATTTTAGGTCAAATTCATCAACACGACGTTTATTATCGACCGTCGAAAAAACTATATATAATTTTGTTAAGCGATATACAAATCTCTACCAAATATGAAAAACGATAGTATAATATAAATCTATAAATTATTGGAAGTATGAAGAAAAAGACATTTAGCAAAATAAAATAGTACAATTATATCATATTTTGGATAGTGATAGCAATGAGTAGGAATTGTGTTTGGTTTTAGATTGGACCATTTGTGCAATAAACTTAAAATAAGAATCCAATGGTTGCACAAAACATGGCTTTGATCTTGATATCGTTACAAAAATAATGTAAGTTGTACCCAATTTAAATGATAAATCACCATCTTTGTTCATCCAAAATGTTTTTCGACAATATTGATGATTTTGATTCAAATGTTCGATAAGAAATACCGAAAAATTGTTTCGTTCTTGGCCAATTTTTTGGTCATTTTTCATCGTGGTACCATACTCAACTATTTTAGGAGCTCAGCTAGTTAGTACTACGCTAAACCAAACTAAATTACATATGTGGGTCAATCATAAATGATCCGTTGTAGTTAAAGGTAATTGGTAACGCTCTAAAATCCCATCATAAATATGAGAGGAGTAGTTCGGTGCTTGTCAACTACGATACATATGTGAATTGGTCATAAATGACTCATCGTTACTAACATCTGAAAATAAATGAATAGTACTAGTGGGTATAAAAATATTTAGTAAGTAGCTGTGAGATCCCGTGTCAGTTGAGGAAGAGAACGAAACACCATTTATAAGGGTGTGAAAACTTTTCCCTAGCAGACACATTTTAAAAATCTTGAGGGAAAGCCCGAAAGGAAAAGCTCAAAGCGAACAAGATCTACTAGCGGTGGGCTTGGGTCGTTACCGTAGCTAACTTGTAAAACCGTAATATTTAAGATGAAAAAATTGTGTGCCTCCCTACTTAGGACTTAGTGGGCTATAATGTCCATTCATATTGATTTTGAAACATGAAAGTCAAAGTTCTAGTCTTTAACCAATTTAGGCCTATAGCAAGCTAGTACTCTAATAAATCAGTTAAGCCACAACGTGGGTCAATCATAAATAATGTCTCACTGCAAGAGGTAGTTTGGACGGAAGTACTCTAATAATTCAGCTAAGCTACAACATGGGTCAATCATAAATGATGTCTCGTTGTTAGAGGTAGTTTGAAACGAAGTACTCTAATAAATCAGCTAAGCTACAATGTGGGTCAATCATAAATTATGTCTCGCTGCTAGAGGTAGTTTGGAACGAAGTACTCTAATAAATCAGCTAAGCTACAACGTGGGTCAATCATAAATCATGTCTCGCTGTTAGAGATAGTTTGGAACGAAGTAGGTCGTGCATTATTAGTTGGATTGAAGTAAGAATTTTGTATGCTGGACAATATCTAGTTACAAATTATATTAGAGTCAGACACCAAACAATATGTCAGCCACATAAGGATGTAGGAATCTCTCCCTAGTAGACGCGTTTTAAAACTATGAGACTGACGGTGATACTTAACGGGCCAAAACGAACAATATCTACTGGTGGTAGGCTTGGGGCTGTTACATTTTATGCTTCCACTTCTCGTGTTTCAAAATTATGACAAATGCATCATTATATTCTCAAAATTACTCTCATTCACACCTGATATTTCCGAATCTCTATTGTTTTATAAATAATATAATGTTATTTTGGATCACAATCATAAAACAACCCAAAATAAAATCTTTGAAGATCAACCAACACCATCAACTTCAGCTTATTACAATGGTAAAAAGTAAAAAAACCAAAGCTAATTGATGTTAGTTTCATTTCCATCTAATTAGACTCTCAATTTCACCCACTACCAATGGGTATTGTAACAAAAGAAACACCACTGTTGGGTTCCACTTTTTCCTTTTCACTTTGTATTGCTGCCTCTGCAGGCTTGGCAGCCTTAAAATGGGCCAAAGAGGCAAGTTCTTGAACAGCCTCTGCAATTTTTTCGGTGATATCGACGACGTCGACGAGCAGCGTACCGACGTTGGCTGCCGGGATGAGTGTCAAGAGATCACAACTCTCCCACAAACGTGATGATTTGAGTGAGGCTTTGAGCTTTTTGGCGGCTGCTTTTGAGTTGTTTGTGTGGATTTCAGCTAGAGTTGGTTGAGTCATTTCCCTTATGGATGAAACAAGCTGCCTTAGTGCTTTCCCTGTTTCCATGCTCATCTCCATGCATGGTTCTTGGATTTGTGTTTGAATCTCTTGTGAAACCTACACGAATCGCGATTCGTGGACAAACCCTTTTGGTTTAAATCCGTTTTATACAACAAAAATGATATTTGAACGAGAATGAACATCGAATATTACTTGGAAACTAGAAGAAGAGAGATTGCGATGAAGGGCATCAATTCTAAAGGCACATTGATAAGTTAGGGCTCCGATTTTCAAGTACTGCTTCCATGGATGACGGAATTGGAAACATCCGTGGCCAGGCTCCCACCTTGCGAAATTATACTGTACGAATATCAATTATCATTTTAAAGGTCGATTGTCTGATTGTTTGATCTTTACTCGCAAGAAAAAATAGAGAGGCACGTACCAATGTATCTTCGATGCCACTTGATTTGAGAATACTTTTATATGCTTGTATACTTTTGTCATCTTTAGCCTCTCTATCTTGTAAAGTTTTAAAGTATTCAACTGATCCATATCCTATGAAATATGGCAAAAATCTTCTTGAGTGGTTTCTACACAAAAAAATTTAAACC